TTTTGATTAGATGCGCAAAATTCCACAGTCGTGGGGATTAAGACGTTAAGCCTTAAGACGGCTCACACAATGGAATTTGCTTTGTGGGCGCATTGAAAAGCTGCACAACATGACTGACGCTGCCTCTGGCTTCCTCTCGCTTCCTCTGTCTTTGTAGCCATCAAGGAAGCGACGCCAACGCGCTGCGGATTATTAAATTTTCAAATAAAAACCAAAAGTTGCATAATCCATAGACGCCTGGGCAGCCAGTCAGCCAGTCAGCCAGTCAGGCAGTCAAGCAAGCCAAAGAGCTCTCTCTCTGCACGCGAATTGCAGACGCAGACAGCGACAGACTCGGGACGGACATTTGCTTCCTGGAAACCGGGACAGCCGCAGCACTTTGGTTGTTGTTGTTGTTGCTGTTGATTTTGTTATTTATGGCTCATTCGCGCTCAGGTTGCAGCAAAGAAACTGGTTAAAAAATAAATAAAGAGGCAGCAACAAGTCGCAGCAACAGCAGCAACAAAAACAACTTTGCGCGCGCTCGAGAGAAAATTAAAAGAGAAATAGAAATACACCTATATACACATATATATATAAGTATAAGTAATGGATGATGATGATGATGGCGTTGGCTAAAACATAAACCGAAACCGGTGCGGCAGGTTAATACACAAGCCCAGTCAGCCAGCCAGCTAGCCAGCCAGCCAGCTAGCCAGACAGCCAGCTAGCCAGTCGGCCCGTACAAAAACACAAATACAAAGACGAAGCGAAACGGATCTCGTAGTCAAGAGAGGGCAGCCACAACAACAAAATCACATAGATCACTGGACACAAACAATGCTGAAGTCTTCGAGCCGAAATGACAGAGTTCAAATTGGCTTAAATGAGCAGCGTAGCAGTTGACATTTGTGGTCCATGTGCAAATGACTTAATTTGCAATGCAGAGCGAGCGGAAAGATAGAGAGGGCGAGCGTGGGAGGGGCTGGGAGAGAATAGAAACTCAAACTGGCAAGCGGGGCCAAGTGTTCAGCGAAGTGACAAGGCTTTGAGTTATGCGTGCCACGCCTGCCAGCCCCAGACCCAGCCCTGCTGCAGTCTCACATTCAAATATTCGATCTACGGTGCGTATACGTATTGCAATTGCAGTGGCTATGGCAATATTTTGATTGTGAGTCGCATTGCGTGCAAGGCAAGTGTCTTGTTCTTGTTTGCGCATTCCTGGTCACAGTTATTTGCCGTTGTTGCTGCTGTTGCAAATACCTGGCCTTAGGGAGCGTCAAGTGTCGTGCGGCTGGCCAGGTTGCAAGTTGCAAGTTGCATGTGGCAAGCTGCAGTCGCAGTCTCAGCATCGGTCATAGCTTAAGTTGTGTTCTGCTCTAAGCTTCAGTTAGGCGCACATACAAATCGAGTATTCTGCGTGGTTGTTGTTGTTGTTGCCATTGTTGTTGTTTTGTCTGGCTGAAACAAGTTTTGTGGTCTGGCTTTGGTTGATGCCTGCCCTACGCTACGCATGCGCAGAGACTTCCATTGCCGCAGCTCAGCGCAGGCAATAGCTTTTTACAGAGAACTAAGCTTATATCTAATAAATGTTAAGCCTTGCTAAACGGAATGCCCTTCTATGCAATTCTCATGAGTTTAAAAACGCTTCGTGCCTTGCTGATTAGTGTTAGATTAACAACTTAACAAACTGATCAACCTTACCTCTGCTCGTCTGGCTTAGTTAGTATATTTAGATGGTGTGATACTTATATGCTTATCTATATGTATCTATATCTATATCAATGCATCTAAATTCATCTGGAATCATCTTTATTTATATTTCTATCTATTTATCTAATTCTCTTTTGTTGTTTTTCTATCTCAGATAGGTAGATCTATATATATGTATCTCTCTTATTATCTATTTATCTATCTATCATTCATTCTTTTCCATTTGAATATGTTAAACATCATTCTAAGCCAAGTTAATTTACACTTTTACCTTTAGTCATGTGTCTCTCTAGAGCCGTATACCTAGCTTAATCGTGTCGCCTGCCTACACACACAGCTTCCCATACAAATTGCTGAGCAAATTTATTAAGCCGCAGCGTGAGAAACCAAATAAAAAGAAATTAGCAGAAATAAAATAAAAAGCCGAAACAGAATTTATGTTAAGCCCTCATTTGGTGTTTTTACACAAATATACTTTCTGATATATAACCACAGACACAGCTATATATAGATATATACACGATTATACTTAAGTAAATACAACATCAACACGGTAATCCGAGCCAGACACAAGCTAAGCAAAGGATAGGTAAACGAGGGGGCTCTTAGGGGCTTTCACGGCTGCGGGGGGAGAACGTGTTGAAAAATGAGCGTCGCGTGAAACTTATTAATGAAAAGAGCCGCAAATGAAATGCTGCGAATTAGCGCTACAACAACAATAACAAGAACAAGAAAAAAACAAGAACAACAAATCACAGCACATACGAAACACAAGTAAAACAAAAAACAGAAGGAGCAAGAGAAAAGAAATCGAGGTGTAGAACTAAGTCGCACAACACAAAGTCCTAAAACATAAACGCTTTGGCACATTTATGAAGGGCGCTTTTAATTAGCCGCTGCTGGCCATTGGAACAGGTAGATAAGCTGCGCTAAGTCAACTAAGACGAGCTGCGTTGAGTTGCGAGCTCGCTTTAACGGTAAACGTTGACTTACCAAAATTGCATGCTCTGTCGTAGCTACATATATGTACGAACATGCATGTATCTGTGTGTGTGTGCATATATGTGTGTATGTGTGCGGCCCAGGCAGACACAGCTGGCTCATATCAGGGAGTTGAAACTGGCCGCAAAGCCGAGACTGAATACAGCGCCAAACCAGACACACGCTCTCGCTCACACTCACGCTACCTCACACACACACGCAGACTCTCTCTCTCTTTCTCGCTCGCTCACTTGCTTGCTCTATGCTCCGTTTAGGGGGGAAAGGGGAGGTTGTGCAGCAATAAAAAACACTTGAAAAGGCACGAAAAAGGTAGACGACGACGATGACTGTGGTTGTGCTTGTTGTTGTTATTATTATTATTGTTGCTGCTGCTGCTGCTGCTGTTGGTGGTGAGCTGTCGGCCAAGTCAGCCGCACAGCCGCCGTTGCGCCGTTATTGTTGTTGGCTTTTGGGTGTAGTTCAATATTAATTTTATTGTTGCTGCTGCCGATAAAGCACAAAATTCAGCATTGCTGTTAACAATATATACTTGTGCGGCTTTTGTGCTTTATATATAAACACACTCACACATACATATATACATATATAATTTATATACGTATTTATGCAAAGCAACTATAATTTAAAAAAAAGCAGCAAAAATTGTTTTGTTTTCGTTGATTTCTTTTGTTATTTTTAACACAGTTTTTGCGCTTTCTGTTCTTTTTTGCCACAATGCTTTATATCGCGTTGCCTTCTTTTCTTCTTTTGTATTTTTGCTAATCACATTTTGTTAACACACAGACAGACACACACGCACACGCATGCACACAGACGCACACAATTGGAGAGAAAGAGAGGGTAAGCAGCGCAGACTAACCGACGGCTCATGCGCGCTGGCCAAGTCCAAGCAAACGCGTTTAGGCCAAAACGTAGACTGAACAGCTAGCACCAGTTGCCAGTTGCCCGTCGTTGCCCGTTGCTGCCGAGCGAGGCACTTCGAGCTCTCTCTCACATACACACACACTCTCCCTGTTTCCTCTCTCTCTCGCTCGCTCTCTCTCTCTCTCTCTCTCTGCCCTCCTGCCACGCTCGCGCTCTTGTGGCCAGCGATCTCTGCGCTGGTTTCGCTCGTGCACACACATTTATCACCGTTTACTTATGCGCTTTTCATTCATAAACAAAAAGCGCAGCGCGCATTGTTGTTGCTGCTGTCGGGCTCTCACCTGTGCTCACCTGTTGAGCAGCCGGCAACAGCGACATGTTGCCAGCAGCAATTACAACTGTTGCCAGCGGTAATTTTTTTGAATTCCTAACGCCTCTTCGACAGAGTTGTTAATCAGCTGGAAAGCAAAAAGAAAAGCATTTCAATTACGCTTTGCTAATTGTACAGGTAAGTGCAGAGACTTTCGTATAGTGAAAATATGAAATGCAGAAATACAGATGCAAATGCAAACAAGATTCAGCTTGCATAGATGTCCACATATTTGTTGATTTTTTCACAGTCTCAAAATTTTAATGCCAATATTTAAAAATATTTTTATTTAATATTAATTATCAAATTATATTTTTATTTTATATTTAACCTTACTTGCAACACTTTCGGTTTTTATTTTAGTAATTTTGCCGCCGTTATAAGAGTATGTATCTGGCATAGGAAGGCTCTACTGTACACTTATGTTTATCAATATCTCAGTTTGACAAACAAAATTGCAAAACATTTTAATTTCTACTTCATTATTTTATTTTAATATATTTTTTATAGTTTGAATATAGAAATTTATATATTTAAATATTCGCTAAAATTGCTTTATTCAATTCTTGATTTTTGACTACACTTGAATAGCAATTCTCGCATCTTGACACCCGGAAGTTTAGCCAGCTTGTCGTAGTAATACGTTATACTAATATTTAGTTTCTCTGATGTTCGCATTTGTTCTATTCATAACGTATCTCCGTGCTATGTAAACACTTCAGTGTTTAGGAAATGGAAATGAAGTCAAATCCATTATTTGCTGCACTTTCGCACCTTGATCCGCTGCACTCAGTCGTAGCTAAAGCGTAGCGTCAAGGTCGTTGGCATTACTAATACAACTAATTCTTGGCTCGCTTGGCATTGGATTATTTTTTGGTGAGCCCATTAACATTTGAGCGCTAATGGACAGTCGAGCGTTCAAAGAACGAATTGCAATCCTAATACGTATACGTATTCGTGTTCGTAGACAAGCACAGCACTGCCCAGCCCAGCTCGGATTTGAATACATATTTGCCTTGCAAATAACTAAAAGGCAGAGGGGAATGCACTTTGAGCAGAGAGGCAAGGCAGCTTTTCGGGTATACAAAAGTTAGTAATCAGGTTTTATTAGGCATTAAGAAGATCTCTTTCCGTATTATCTACAATATATGTTTAAATAGATTTAGTCTCACTAGTTGTTGTATAAAATCAATTTAGTTTGGCTCAGGCCTTGCGCTTAGGCATACTTGGCAACCAGAGTCTCGACGAAGGCAATGTATTCCTTCTGTGCTGCCTCGGTGGACTTGCCCTTCTGCTTGCCCCAGGCCTCCCACTTGGCCTTGCCCTTCAGGTCCAGAAGGCCGGGCTTGCTGGTCTCGTTGTCGCCAACGGTGGCCTGCTTGAAGAGGGCATAGAGTTCGAGGAACTCATCATCGCTGGGACGCTTGGTCAGAGTCTTCACCTTCTCGGCGGCGGCATTGAATTGCTACGAAAAATTTGAGAGATTAGCACAACTCAACAGGTTGATAAGCTATTGACTTATCACTGAACAACTGTGATAAGATAAATCACATAAATTATTTCCTGTCACTTACCTCAGTGAGGGACATTGTGGATTTAGATTATAATCTGCAAGTAACAATTGAAGCCTGTTTAATATGTATCTATGACGCAACATAAATTATAAATGTGACAATGAACTTGATGGGGCTACCGCGGCTGCTACTGCTGCTCTGCTTGATGATATGACAAAACCAGTTCGCTGATCACCATTAATTGGAGGGCCTGACAAATGGACTGCCGCCAAATTGTCTAGCGAGATGAACTTTGGCACACATCGCACGATTTTGAGTACAGCAGCGTTTAGGAGAGACGTAACTTTCACCAAGCAGCAGGCAGGCAGCAGCGTAATAAGAATAGAAATTCATTTATGAAAATTATGACGGTAGCTAAAAAAGATACAAATGTATCTAACGGATACATCAGCACCAGCACAAGCACCAGAAGCAGCAGCAGCAGTACTAGCAAAATTTTTCCCGCCGGTAAAGGAATTTGGGCGTGGGTTGAGTACGTGCGAATCATATGTTATTGCTCGTTGGCTAAAAAACACAGCCGTTATCTGCGAGCTTTTCTGATTGTTGATTGTCACATGTGTCAATTGTTGTTTCTTGTAATATATTGATAATGTGGGCTGGCACTTGTTGAATTTCAGTACACGCACTTACGCTGGTTTTTGCTGTCTGGGCGGTTACAGAACTCGGCACTGTCTGAATCCGAGTCTCGATTTGGCTTTCAATTTAAATGTTTTCGCGTTGCTCACGATCGCCGGCGACGCCGAGCCAAAGCTCTCGCTATTTTGAGAGCGTCCGCTACTCTGCCCCAAGGCAATTGGCAACGGCCAAACGGGCTATTGGCGAGCTCTCCAAAGTTTCGCTCTGCTAGATTAGCTTTGAGCTGCAATAGAATTTGTTTTTGGGATGTGGATCTTATTTTAATCATATAATCAGTAGAGTGCGAAGTACGACACTCATCTAATCGCAGCTGTAGTCACGACTTTGTAGAATTTCTTCTAATCAGTTCTCAACACCTGATGACTGCTCGACGTATACACAACTTAATGGCTCTGCTTATTCTATCTGGCCACGTATGTAGTAATGAGGACAACAAATTGCAATTCTATGAACTTCGATTGTTAATCGGAACAATACAGTAAGCACTTCTAGAAAACTTGTTTGAAAGTTAGTCAGCTTTGAGATTAACAGTAAATATAAACTTTATCTATAAGTTTGAGTTATATACAGATAATAATTTCAATTTTCTATGAATGCATTCAATTGTTATTTATATTGAAATAAACTTATCAGAAATTCAAGAATTATAAATTAAACACAAATGAGCTGAAGTGTTATTATCCTATATACCACCAGAATCATATTTAAACGAAAACCGTCATAAAAGCTTTTCGTTATTAATGGAAGCTTATAGAGACGTAGCTCTTACACCTTTGAAAATTTGCATATTTAAGCTTAGCATACTTTCAGGCGCCTGATTTTGAGTTGAGTCAAATTCAATGCATAAATGAAGCAACATATATACACTTTTTATAATTGAAATTGTTTGTATATTAATATTGACAATAATTAACTCGTGTATATTTATTATCTTCTTTATAGACTTTAGTTTCTCAGACCCTTTTTCGTAACGGAAACCTTTGAAAAAATTAAACTCATAAAATGATTAATGACTGTCTGTTTTAATCGACTGCTTCATTTAGATAGCAAATTGCTATCATGCTGAGACAGCTGAAACAAATTAATCATTTTATTATATAATTATTTATATGTATATATATGTATAAATATTTATATATATTTAAAAATAATCACGAAATATGTTTTGATATATTAAAATTGAACTACTTAAAACTAACTTGTATACTTTTAATTAAATATATATATATATATATATAAATAAATATATACATATATATATAATATATACATAATATATATATATATACATATATATAATATATACATATATATATATATATATATATATATATATATATATATATATATATTTAATTAAAAGTATACAAGTTAGTTTTAAGTAGTTCAATTTTAATATATCAAAACATATTTCGTGATTATTTTTAAATGCTTACGGTTTATTAAGGTTTATATAAAATTAGTATAAATACATTTGATTAACAAGGACATTTGTGGCATAAATAATGTATAATCTTGTGAGCTATTGCATAGTTCTTTAAATGCATTTTTACTCGTATTTGGCAGCATACTTCTTGTACACCTCGATGTAGTGGGCTTTGGCGTCTTCAAGAGTCAGACCAGCCTTGCTCTTCCAGGCATTGTAGCGAGCCTTCTGTTCCTCATCCTCTGGCTCCTCAATGTTGCAATCGCCAACTGTGGCCTGTTTGTAGTAGCCATAGAATTCCAGGAAATCCTCCTTAGTGACAGTCTTGCTGAAATTCTTTGCCTTCTCAACGATTTCCTCAAACTGAAGCAAAATAGAATAAAGTTATTATAGCTGATATTCCTGTATCACTTATATTTTAGCTTACGGTCAACATATTGGCTTTTTGCTGGTTTGTTGTGTCGGGCTAACGAAAACAAATTGTAGCTGCTCGTTTCAACGCATAGTTATATATATAATGGGCCCAAACATAGAAACCAATTTTTGTTAGTTAATCTTATCAAAACAGGAGACAGACTTGCAACTCCCTGTTCCCTGTTGCCCAAAATTACGGCATACACTTAGGCACATACATCATACTATCTGATTGGCTGATTACTGAACAGAACTCGTACGAGTTTGCACTTGCAGTTTGTCAGAAATAATATTAGCAATATATATATATATATGTATAATCGCAATGATAGATCTAAGTATATATACATGGAGTCCCCTATGCACTCAAGCGATAAGATTAACATGAATATTTTATGGTGTTCGTCGCATATGTTTTATCATATATATAAAACAAGTCAATACTCAATAACTGAAGATAGCTTGACGACTCAATCAAGTTGGTAGTGATGATGTGTGTGTTTCACAGCCAAGTCAAATTTTTATTTCAGTTTGAATGATTCATGCCCACAATTATCTTAGATCGGACAAACACTAACGGCACTTATCTATAGTATTTTTCCAAAATATTAATTAATAAAATCGTACCGCAATAGATAACCGAGCTGAAAATAGGCTTACCATATGCAAATGATCCTAAATTTAAATTAATTAAATTTTATATTACTAGAAGAGATTACTATAAATAGAAGCGAGTTGGTTAAAATTGAACAACATTCAGCACATTAGCCTCGCAAGATGGTCAACTTTGAGCAAGCCGCCGAACTCGCCAAGAAGTTTTCTAAGAAGCCCACGGACTCGGAGTTCTTGGAGTTCTATGGACTCTTCAAGCAGGCCACCGTTGGAGATGTAAACATCGATAAGCCTGGATTACTCGATTTAAAGAAGAAGGCCATGTATGAGGCGTGGAGCGCACATAAGGGTTTGTCCAAGGATGCCGCCAAGGAAGCTTACGTCAAGGTCTACGAGAAGTATGCGCCCAAATATGCCTAAAGGATAAGGCCATTAGCAATAAACATAATATTATGTGTCAATAAATATTAAAACTTACAAAAAACAACAAATTTTAGTTATTTTATGTTCAACAACCTTTAAAATGCCGCTTCCGATTGGGGCATGGCCACCACAGCAGCGATTAGTGGCTTTGCCTGACCTGCCTTCATCAGCATAACACGGATTTGGGAATTGTCTGGCGTCAGTGTATCTGGTGGCAGCTTGTCCATTGCATCCAGCACAGCCAGCACCTCAAAGTCTACACGTAGCGGAATGCCAGGCAGAACACTAGGCAATCTGGCCACAGACTGTTGTATGGTATAATGACGACGGTCAGCATGTAGCAGTACAGCCAGATTCGAGGCCATCTTATAAGTTGATAGGTTCTGTACGGTGAGGTAAAGTCGAAAAGCGGGTCCACTTCCACAGACCTCGGCAGCCAACTTCACGGGCGCATGTGTAAGATCACCTGAAATGGTGCTCTCTGAGGAGTTAATAGCATCAATTGTGGCACGTGCTGCTGTGTGGCGCAGTCGCCACAGCTCCATCTGAAAGCTGCCATAGCTAGCTGCAAGAGAGTGGGAGTTCACAATGGTTTACTCCAAGATCCATGCAACTTACACTTGGCCTGCTGCTTCTCACGCGCCGCTTGCTCTACGAATATGGAGCTCTTCTTCGACTTGTCCAGTATTGATGCATCTCCGATCTTCTGAGGCACCGCGAAGCCCTTTTTCGTTAATGAAACCGCTGACGTGTCCGGTTCAAAGTGTGTAATACGTCGCAAAATCTTAATAATAATATCGCCCGATTCCGTGACAAGCGTGAGCACATGATCCTCCATTCCCATACGGCCATATATCATGCCTGCCACAGTCTGTGGTACCACGAATTCGTCCACCATATAGCGATTCAAATAGAAACCCACTTTGCCACCTTGAAGTGCGACGGCCACTAGTGTGACGCCCAGGTGTGTAAGCGGTAGGGGTAAAATGCAGACCGGCGCTGCTTCCAATTGCAGTTGATAAAGCTGTTTACCTCGTTTCGAGCAGCACATATAGTGATTCTCCATGGTGGTTATAACGATTGTCTGATCAATAGGCAGCAAAAGCAGACCAGTCAATGGGGTGGATAGCTTGAAAATCTCCTGACCCTCGCTGCTGGACTTGCGCAACAGGTAAACTCCACCATTCCGCGTGCCCACCACAATGCAGAAATCTGTCTCATACGTGCCATGTATCGAAATGAGACTCGGCACAGCTGTCTCATAGTTGCAAACTCTTGACTGATATATCAAGTTGAACCCCTGCGGCTCCAGCACATATATGTGACCGGTGTCTGTAGCCAAAACCAAATGGGAGGGGGGGCTCACATTACTGGAAACTCGCTTCAAACAACACATGGCTACAATATTGCCCGATCGACCCACAACCGAATCCTTGTGGGTGCTGATAAATGACTGGCAAAGGGATAGACATCAAATAAAATATGATTCTATTTAGATAGAACTTCTCTTACAGCTCGTTCCTCTTCAGCTAACTGTAGCAGCCGTTGCGTTTTACGCGAAAGTTTGGCATGGTCCACATCCTTGAGCAACTGCAACAGTCCTTCATGTGTCTCCAGTTTCATCACGGGCAATTTGCGCCACACCTCCAATTCCAATTCTTCGGCATCCGTGGCGGGAATTGTATATTTAAAAAAGGGCTTCAAATGCCTGTAGAAAAGCACCGAATCGGCAATGGCAACTGCAATTACTGACGAATGGAAACCAGTATAGTAACATAAGGAAGGTGCATTCTTAAGGTCTAAGTTACTCACCCGGCGTTTTAGGCTCTGTTTCGTCTGTGTAGAGACTTTCAATAGCAGTAGGTATTCCAGGTAGCGATTGCTCGTGCTTAAGTTGTAGCCCTCGAAATACTTTCAGCTTGGCACTGGGCTCCTCATCATCTTCCAGTGAAATGTCAGCCACTAGAAGTCGCACGTAACCATCGCATTGCACGTCGCTGAGCGTCATGCAACTGGACAAAGTTGAAAACAGTTGAGGTGTGTCTTCTTCGAAGTCAACGTGCAGCCAATTGGATGCCGATGATGTTGCCATGCTAATAAATCCTATTTTTTTTAATATTAAAAAGAGTATGTTCACTGGCTGTGGAAAAATTAGAATATGTACTTTGTTTTGGTTTTTCCTCCTTAGCAACGGTTTGTTTTTAAATTGCGCCGATAATGGTTATCGATTATAAAATGATATCGCTACATGCCAGTAGCAGCGAGCGCATACAAGTCGTATCGGTACATATGATTTGCGTTACGCAGCAATATCAAATTTAATCTATTTACCTTAACAACAGAAAAAATCGTATTAATTTTGCATGTCTTAAAAATTCTGCAATTATCATGATAGGAATTTTTTAAGTGCAGGGTATAATTGATGTGAATAAAAAGAATTAGTAATTTGCTGGTTCACTACTCAGAATGTGCAGCCCTAGTTTGAGCGCTTTTTGTGTGACTGGCAGAAAGAGTCAAGAACGCGAGCGACGCGACTCGTTGAATGCAAATAATAAATAATATTATTTTAGCCATAAGTTAATAGTTTATGTGATTTTTTCAAAAGTGATGACGAAGCGTGAAAACGAGGTTCAGCTTTTCAACAGGGGTGAGAAAGTCCTGTGTTACGAGCCCGACAAATCGAATGCTAGGGTCTTGTACGATAGTAAGGTAACCCACGCAAACACACATACACACATGCATGCACTCACGCATACAGAAACAGCGTTTCGAAACGTCAAACACATAAATGCCAAACGCGAGGTGAATGCTTCAATTTTTCACAACGTAAAATTTTGGTTTTCTTTAGGTTTTAGCTGTGTACGAACGCAAGGACGCCGATAATCTACGCTATTTTGATTATAAAATCCATTTTCAAGGCTGGAACGCATCCTGGGATAGAAATGTGCGCGCCGACAGTTTGTTAAAAGACAACGAAGAAAATCGCAATCTTCAGCGTGAGCTGGCAGAAGCCGCGCAGCTACAAAAGTGAGTGAAATTTGCGCACGTGTGTGTGACTATATGTGAACACCTGTTTATTGTTTACAATTTGCAGGAGTGGTGGCTATTCTTACAAAGACACTAAAACTCCGACTTTGCCATCCGGTAAAAAGAAGCGTTTGGCCAGAGGTGTCAACGCTGAAGATCAGACAGCAGATCCCCTAGACATATCGCCGGCATCCCAGCCGGTAACTCCACAGCACGAACTGCCGGCACAGCAGAAGGGTGGCGCCCACATGCGGGATGGTAGTGGAAATCGGTCGCGGGACAACAGCCGCGGTCGCAAGGGCCAGCATGACAAGTCGAGCACCGGTGGAGGTGGTGGCGGCGGTGGTACTGATGTAACCATGAAGGACCAACGCAAAACCGGCCGTACGGAGGGTGAGCGAAAATCTGCTAAGTCTCAGTATAGTCTGCATGTCTCACCTAAAGATACGCATACAACTGATGCAGAGAAGCGCGTCCATCAAGAGGATCGTGTGATGCTTCGCATCAGCGAGCGGCTACGCGAGTATATGGAATACGACTACAATATGGTCTGCAAACTTGGCAAGGAGCACGCCCTGCCCGCTCGCATGCCCATCGTCACCATCTTGGAAAACTTTGTCAAGCAACGAGCCGTCGAATTGGCTATTGGCATCAAGCAGGACAGTTCGAGGGCACGCAACACGCAGAGCCGTAATGCGCGCATGGAGCGTGAGTACGATCGTGTAATGTCCAAGTAAGTATTAGGTTTGGCTTGATTCAGCTCCCAACTGTAGAGAATCCCAATCGATTGGCTGATTCCAATTGTGAGTCGTTTTCCATTTTGTTTTATTTAATCAGCACTCATTAAATCCATTACTATAATTCTCTAGCGTCTGTATGCTCAAGGAAGTTGTAGATGGACTGCGGATCTATTTTGAATTTCATCTAGAAGATCACCTGTTGTACAAAGAGGAAAGGGACTATGTCTTAGGCTGCCTTAACGATGATATATCGATATATTCCAACAAATTCGCTGACCAAGCCAAGGAATACATAAATCCCAGCACCGACAATGAGCTCATTTCAATGGATGGCAATATGAATGGCACAAATGGAGTCGATGGCACCATTCTAGGAGGCATTGAATACGAGAAGCAGCTACAAAAGTGCCTGCTATACATTGTGAAAAGCAGTGGAAAGAATAACATCGCACATGCCTATGATCAGCGAACCTCTCCCTATACGGCTGCCTACAAACTGCCCATGGAAATGCGTGGCTTTCTCTGTGAGACTTTTAGCTGGAGTCTGTTGGCTAAAACAGAAACACTTTTGTATGGATCTGAGAAATCTATGATATTTGGTGCACCACATTTAGCACGCATGTTGAGTAAGTTGAAAAGCTATTTGCATTGAGTATTTTCATAATTAAATGACTGTTCTCCTATTGCAGTTTTATTGCCCGAATGGCTTAATGCTTCACCCATATCAAATGAGAAACTGGAGATTCTGGTGCCACATCTTAACTCCTTAATCAAGTATTTGAAACTTGTATGAACAGCCTTAAAAAATAGTTACTTATATTGTTTCTTCTTTGTTTTAGTTACTTGGAGAACCATAAGGAATGGTTTGATAAGCAGAATTATTGCAAATAATGTATATGAGAAGTATCCATCCCGCCTGGCAATCTTAGAAAAGGTTTGATTTTTTTAGCTAACAATTAAGATATAAGACAAGACATTGACATTTTTTTTTTTCATATTATTTTATTTTATTTATTATGCATTTTAAAGCTTGTGTTTTTTTATTTTTTTGTTTAAGAATTGTAATTGTCATTTGTTCATCAGTATCAATATCAATGCATAAATCAATTATGATTTTGGTTGTCTTTTTGTTTGTTTATTTTTAACTACACAATTGTAATAAACGCGCTTCTATAAAAAGAACTTTCCTACACATGTATAATCGAATAGTGTCTAAAACTATATGTTAATGTTAATATGGAATAGACAATTTTTTAACTTTTAATTCTAAGTTAGAGTTGAGTAGTTTTACAAACTATTATATTTCTTAAATTTTTTTGTGCTCAAATACATATATTTAAGAATTTTAATAATTTTCTGTCTTTTTCTTAAGAATTAGAATGTAAGAGGTCCTTGGAAACGATGAAAAGTGTGCAAAAATAACTTTCGCATTGAAACACATTTTGTGACGGAGCTCACGGCGCACCTGTTTCTGTTTACCTTTGGAATGTGCTAGAAATGATCATCATTATCATCATCGGACCCTTTGCTGGACCCACTCTAAACTAGATGCTACTACCAAGTATAACAACTGCTCATAAATAACTCTGGGAGCTAGGGTTTGGGGTTTGTTGTGCAACGTTAACAATTAAATGGAGTAGTTTGTGCAAAATCCTGCCTAGAAATTCGAAATATTTACTTGTTTCTCTTTTGTTTTTGATGTCGTTTGCTTGGACGGTTTAGATTAGATGCGTTTTGTAACTTGTCTTTGTTCTGAGTTTGTAAACTTGGGACGTTAACTTGGACGATGCCTCCTGTTCCTACTACGATTCTTTGTCTGCATCCCCTTTACTTTCAATGCTTATTTCTGGCGCTTGGTTGCACTGCTGGCCGTGGGGCGCATAAAGCTGCTCACTGATCGATTGCGGGGCTGTTGCTGCTGGGAATTATTGTTGCTGCTGTTGCTCTTGGCCTGTTGGGTCAACACATTCTTGACCAGCATAGCGCTGCGTGCGGCTGTCAAGCGAGAGGCGGTTGCTGTTGCTGTGGCTGCAGTTTGGTTCTCCTTGAAGCTAGTGCTGTTGCCCAACGGCTGTGCCTGACCAGCTCGTGGACCGGTTGTCAGTTTGCTCCGCACGAGTATGACACTGGGGCCCACACTGGAGCCACTGCTGCTGCTGCGACTGGCAGGCACGCCACGCCCACTAGTTGTGGGACGTGCATTCTGTGCTGCCAGCGGACGTTTGCTGGGCGATGAGTCCACCGAGACGGTGGCGGTGCGCTGCACTGAGGGCAGACGCCGCACCACAGTCTGTGTGGAGGCACCGCTATTAATGGAGGATCGCGAGGAACGTAAGCTATTCCTCGAGCTACTTCGCTCCACATCACGCTGCTTCGCATAATTGGGCGTAAATTGTGGAGGCTCGTGTGGGCTTCGTCTTACGCCCGTCGATGAGGATGAGCGTATCGTAGTGGGCGTGGCACTCGGCATGTGAGTGCCATTGGGCATACGCAGCGGCCGGCTGGCTGAGAGGCTACGCTTGGGCAGAGCAGCAGTAATAGGTGCCGTGGCTGGAATTTGGTTTTGTGACTTGTTGCCGGATTGGGACTGTGAGGGATTCGTCGAGGTGCCATGTCGTCTCGCCTGCTGCAGTCGATCTGCCAGGCGGCTGCCCATTGCACTGATGCTGGTGGTGCTCGTTTTTTGCTTGGACAGCGGGCGTGAGCGTTGGGCAGGTGCATCATTAGCCTCGTTGCAGGAGGAGTTGGTGCTCTCACCCTTCCCGTGCGAAGGTGTGTCCGAGACCAAGCTTTGCGTCTCTTCGAAGCCTTCGTCGTTGAGCTCATGATGGCCGCTGGCATTAAGTTTCAGCTTATTGGGCGTGAGCTCACGTGGCGGACTCCAAGGTCGCTCCGGAGTGCCCGTCGGAGATTTCAGATTGCGTATGGCCTCTCGTACATCCTCCTGGTTAATGGAGCTAATATGGCGACCGACCTTCTCCAGTTTGGTTATAGTGCGCGCCTTCTCCGGCTGCGGCTCCTCCTTTTGCAAGCGACGCACTTCACTGGCACTCGCCGATTGCTTGAGGTCCTGCGTAGGCATAATGAGCTCTTCATTGCCGCTGCTGTAGTCTGTGGGTCGTTTGTAGCGACGCGTACGCCTCGCCAGAGCATAGCGATCAAAGTGACCCGGCGCATCCTGCTCATTGGCCGTTGTGGCGTTGCTCTTCTCCTCCGGAGTATGCTTTGGCTTATCCGTCATGCTGACCGTGACCACTGTGCTGTTGGGCGTGGCCAGTACGCGTCGTGTCACTGGCGGCGTTTCAATGTTATCCGCATCGATTTCTTTGGAGGAAGCGGACGCATACTGTGACTCGTTGTGACTCTTGTGATGATCCAGCAAACTGGCAAAGGTATCATCCTGCGTGGGCGACTTGGGCTCCACACGCTTCGCTGGCTCCGGCTGCAGATCCATGCTGGATGGACGCCGCACATAGATTTTCAGGCGATCTGCGTTGCCATCGCTGTCGCCCAGCTTTTGTATAATGGACTTGCGGCGATCCTCCTCGGCAATCGACTGCAGAGGACTGGTACTCTGTGCCTGCTCCTGCGAGCGTTGCCGACGATATTGACGCAGCTCCTCGGCCGTGGTTAGATGTGGTTGAGCTGCCTGCACTGTTGTCGTCGCATCCGCTATGGCCTCTAAGTTACCCACCACGTCTGTGTGGTCCAGTGTTTGGCTTGGCTTCCAGTCCGCATAGACGCGCTGATAGCGTCCGGATTGCTGCTTCTCTTTGTCCGGCTCCGGTTCACGTCGGCTGTAGCTGCTGCTGCGGCTGTGGCTGTGGCTGTTAGTTGGGTTAGTGATCGTCGTCGTTGGCGTTGACGCCGTCGTCGTTGGCGTCGTTGTTGTTGTTGTTGGCATTATCTTTTCCTCTGGCAATGGATCCAGTTTTCGTTCGTTTTCTAAATATGAAAATTGGAAATTTTCAGTTCGCATTTGGCTATTTGACCAAGGGAGGCCGCTTACCAGTTTCGTTCTCGAGCGATCGCCGATTCGCATTAACCAGGCGACGTTTCCGCTTGTATTCCTCGTTCTGTTTCTCATCGTTTTCGTTCGACTGCAGCCAAGTTTCGATCTTCTGTCGCCATTCACGGGATATTCTGTAGAGCGGTATTTAATTGGTATTTGTTTGGTATTTTTAATCAAAATTAAAATTCTCCAGTATTTTAGTATTTTTATTAGATTAGATTAAACACAGAAATTATAAAATTGAAATAATAAATAATATATGTTAAATAGTTTGTTATCTTTGATAGTTGAGTTGATTGTTTGAGTAGGAAAAGAATTTGATAAATGTCGAATAAATTGTTTAGTTTGTGTTGTAGACTATAGATGGTAGTAAAAATAGTTTACTTTTCATATCGGATGGCTTAGGAGTCTTTAAATAAGTTTCATGCAATGCTAACCTCGGTTTTGCATCCTCGTGCGCTGCGGGCATTTGCTGCAGAATCGTTGGGCCATTGCTGATAGGTGTGTTGGCTGCCGTTGTGGGCGTGCCCGTGCCGCTGCTAGCTAATGGCGATTGCATACGGTCCTGCTGCTGTTGCTGTTGCTGTTGCAGCAAGGGAGCTGGGGAGCTGGCACGCTCCCGATCTACACCAAAGTCAATGTTAAGTATATCCGGACGCTTGCGACTCGAGCTGCCTGAGCGGGCACGACGTGCCCATGATCGATCTGTAAGTAAAGTTAGCAAAAAAATGAAGTAGAAGCAGATGTAAAGAGTAGGAAGACCTACCTAGACTGCCGTAGGCTGCCTTGCGATCGCGACTGATATGACCGGGGCCATCGTGGCCATGTGGCCCGGAGCTACGCAAATACTCCATGAGGTCATCCTCACCGGCGAGCACGCGACTGGGACGACGTCGCAGACTGCCATTGGGTGTGATGTCTGGCGAGGCGCTGTACTCCTGCTCGATCCGTATGAAGCCATTGTTCAGCTCGCCCGAGCCCATTTGACGTCTGCTGAGGGCGGGGCTTGCACGCGGATCGAAGAGCCCGTCGCCCAGAAATGAGTCCGAGTCTGAGACGGGCGTACCCGCTTGGCCCACTGCAAAGAAGTGGACAACGGCTTTAGTAAAGAGAAAGGATTCGCATGGTAGCTACATACTTTGTCTGGTTCTTCTGGCCAATTGTTCAGCGCGAATTCTGTTGCGCTCCTCTGCCAATTTCTCCTGCTGCACACGACGCTCGTTCTCCTTGATTGCCTGCCTGAATTTATCACAGAAGCTCTGAAAGATTTTGAAGCATTCCTCCAGCTTAAACGTGGCAGCATCCTCACAGAAGAACTCGGCCAATTTGAGACGCAGTGAATCCACCTGCTTCATGCCCGCCTGCAGCACTGCCACTTCAGAGTCGGCAGTCAGTAGAAACTCTGACATCTGCTGTTTGATGTCCCCATCCGTTGCGGGCAGCTCGATTTGTTTTGTGATCTTCCTGATGCGATTTTCCAGCGTGGTAATCTCACTGTTGATTTGCTCCGATGTGGTTCTATGGACAATATAAAAGGGACCTCAGTACGCTTCTCGAATTGAGCGTGCTTTCTACTTACTTGCTGGCATCTTCGAGATTATTCAGCTGTGTGGTGAACTGCAACAGCTCGGGATTGCAGCGCTCTGCTTGGATGGCCACGAAGTGTATCAGATTCATGCCCGGCTTGTTGGCTCGTATGTCAGTTAGCTTCTGCAGCGACGATAGTTTCACTCCGGCCGCTTTGCCCGCATAGCCGCCGGCGTTGAGGAAATTGCCAGCAACGACGACCATGTAGAGCACCTCCTGCAGCGATTTGTTGTTGAGCAGATTGTCGCCAGCAAAGAGCATGGCGTTGATGCAGGGCTCCAAATAGGCCATATTGGCAGCGAACTCCTCCTTGAGCAACATGCTCTCAATGCGCAGTTTATAGCTGTGGCAAAGGCCGAAAGAAACATCGAACTTGGTTGACTTTTTAAAAACATTTGCTACTCACTTGGGCACCTCAAGCAGCTGGAGAAGAAACTTCTCTGCACTGCCCAGACGCGTGCGATCTCCATTGAAGCTCTTCAGCACTTCCAGCTCGTCCATTTCGGGCAGTATTTTGAGCAAGCCCAAGAGTCGCTCGGCGCCAATCTCCTCGTGCGCGCCATGGCGTATCAGCTGGATGATATCTTGACTGTTGCTGCGGAACTGTCTCAGAAAGATGTTGACATTCAGGCTGCGCTTGCCATCCAATAGAGTGATCTCTGTGCTTTCCTTCTTGCCCTTGCGATCTAGAGTGTCCTTGCCGTTGGCGCTGGATGGTTTGCCGTTCTTGTTTCTCGTCGGAATGGGTGAGCCCTCGCCGCTGGTGGGCTGCTGGCAGAAGAGACCCTCCATCTCGCTGAAGTCAATTTCCATTTGGTTATTGTCTCGATGCACGTTCGCCATTTTGCTCCAGATGTTCTCCCTGCCCAGGACCTTGTTGTCCGGTATCTTGTTCCAGTTGATGGATCTCAATTTGAACTTGGACTCGGGCGTAACCTGCTGTGGCAGCAGCGTAGCCGCTGGGTGCTCCTGGAGCGGCGTTGTCGGACGTAACGATGGAGGTGGCGGCGGCGGCGGCAGCCGTGCATTGCCATTCGGTATGGGCAGTGGCGGCGGTGGTGGTGCTGCTCCATTAACTGTGACTGTTGCGGGTGGCGGTGGCGGTGGCGGAGCTGGTGCAGACGGTGGCTTTGCGACCACATGAGGCTGTGAGGGCTTCCTTGTCGGACTGCTGGCATCGCTCGACCGACAATTAGGGCAGGTGAATTTTTGTGTGCTTTGATGTCGCAGCAGACGCACTGCATCATCGGGATCCTCGAGTAATGTGGCGCGATGCACCAGCCGCTCCGTTGTATCCCAAATGACGTCGCTCAGCGGATCTTTCGAATCGATGCGCAGCAGATGTTGCAATATATTGAGAAATGGCCCCTCCTGCGGCTTGTCGGCCACCTGGCGGCAGGAAGAGGCAATTAGATTTGGGATTAACTTATTAGTTGATTAGTTAGTTAGTTAAATATTTATATATTGCTCAGCAGAATGGCTTGAAAACAATTCAACTGCCTGTAGAAAGTAAGTTTGCCTAGTCTTAAGTATTCTTTCAGTAGATAATGAAGCTTATTTGTACTATAGGTAAGTCTCTTACAGTAGGAGAGCATTCCGTAGAGATGTGTAGCTTTAGAAACCTAAGAAGTTCTTTCCTTGAGGTATTTTAAACACCCCATAAATATTAATATATTATTTCCTGCTTAAAAGCATTGTTGTTTCCCTCTCTTCTCGTTAGATGGCGCCACTACACACGGACATGGATTTGGCTTAATTTAACTTATATTATTAAATGAGTTCTCTACTATGTGACAGTTGACATTTATCCTCAATTCGCGTGCAATGCGCACCTTGACAATGCACCCTCACATACTTCCGCTGCCCATTGGACATACGCTGCGTATACTTAATGCCCATGCACATGCATATGCATATAAATAATAAGTATACGCGGCATGTGACAGCGCAGAGTTGACTGAGAGAGAGAGAGAGGGGTGTTTAGTGTTTGAGTTAGCTAGAGTTGGAGCTCACCTGTCGCAGTATCGCGTAGAAGACATCAAGATGCGAGTTGAGATTGATGCCATCAGGCGCCTGCAGGCTCTGGGCCTCGTCGCATTCCTGTTGCTCCACGAATACGTCCAATTGTACGATGATATCGCCGACACCCTGTACGACTTTTCTGCAATGTTCAATAATGGGTTAATCTATGGCCACTATGCTAATTGCAACTGCAATCGCAAATTGCATTGCTAATGTGTCGTCCGGTTCATTATTCAAGCGTCAATTAGAAATTCGCAATTTGTTTTGCCTGCTCGCGACAATTGTGGGGGGCATTAATTGATTTCTGATTTATGTGTTATTTATTTGCGATTTATGGCACAACTGGGCCACAAGTAGTTGCAGCAACAGTCCAAATCTGTGTGTGACCTGACATTGAGTCGACATAGTCACATAGTCACAGCAGGTTGCCAAAACACAAGCACACACTCGCACACAGAGGCTGGCACACTCACTTGAGATTCTGCACTAGTTGAAAGGCGGCGCCACTGTAACGGGACAGCGAGCAGCAATACGTGAGCCGTCGCTGCCGTTGCAAGGGCAATGGCAATGGCAATCCGGACGCCGACTCTGACTCTGACTCGGACTCGGTCTCGGACTCGGCTGACAATGATGACTCCACGTTGCCTGCCTTGCAGCAGCCTTGGCAATCACAAAGCGACACAGCTCGAGGCAAGTCAAGGCGAAGCGACTCGTGGCGAGGTGAGTCGAGACGTCGCTTATAGCTAGACGCCGCCAGTTCCGACCATATTCGATAGGCTGCAGTTGTTGTTCTAGTTGTTAGGCACTCGTGTCCTTGCTCCTTTTATGGTGTGTCAATTGATATCCATAAACTGAATGGCACCTTTTTTAATTGCTTTTCAATTGTGTTGCTCGTGACGAGCAGCGAGGCAAATGGCAGATGGCAAATGGCAAATAGCAACTGGCAACTGGCAATTGGCAATGTGCGAGGACGAGACAGGACACTGACGGCTGACGGAGCTGAGACCAGACGGAGCCAAAAACTGGACTGCGAGAGCGATTCGCTTTTATTGTTGTCCTTGCCAGCCACGTGCTGCGCGCGCATTGATTTCTCCATAGCCAAAAAATATATAGAAAAAGTTGGCTTGGCAACTAACTAGGAGAGCCAGGCCAAAAAGTCGAAAACTCTTCCGTTCTTTGTTTTTTTTTGTCTTTGTGGCTCTTCTATTTTGACGAGACACTTCGTCAACAACATCGGCTGCGCGTGATGCGCTTTTGTTTTTGTTTTGGCAGCAATTTCTATTTTGGCTCGTCGCGGAAGTTTTACCGGGCTGCCACGATATGTGGGTGAGAAAAACGAAAAACAAAAAGGCAAAACGGAAAATCGAACAAATGTTCAGGAAGTTAAACGAACTAACACGGCAAATTAAAGACATGAAACGGTTGAAATAGCCAATATAATAATAAGTCTGTTATGAAAACAGGCATATAGTAAGGGAATAGTTTAAAGATCTATGATGCAGTAGAAATCTGGTTTACCAAATATTTAACTATATTCTTTTTCATTTAATGATATATTTCTATAAATCTCTTAAATATTCCTTTTTGAATCTTGCCTAAAGCTTCATCTACAGCCTCTTAAATTGAAAGACAGATTAAGCAGTCTTCAAAAGGCGCTTTAAAATGTAAATGTTTAGCATCTTTTGTCGATATTGCTTAGCATTCTTTTTCCATTTTGTGGCCGACTGTCATTTCATATGTCCACAAGCGCTTGGTATTATAGAAAATCGCTGTTATTCAATATTGATTGAACTTAAGATTGATTAGAACCCATTGGACGCGACAGCAATTAAAATCCGCTTATAGCAATACAGCAGCTTCCAAGCTACGCAGATCCGAAAACTCAAATGAATATCTATTTGTTTATAGCACCTCTCGAAGACGCCGCTGCAGAGGGGGCTGAGTGTAGGGGCGCGGGCAGGAGGGGTCGCTGAAATCAAAGCGCTGCTCGGCTCAATGAAAACGTTTAAAGCGATTTGTAAATTTGAAATAAATTAAAACGCGCAAGAAACTACGCATTTAAAAAACTTTTCATAACAATGCCACATCCCATTGAAGGGGCGTGTCAGCTGCCATAAGACAAAACAAATGGGCTTCACTTGGCCTCAGACTCACAGCCACAAGACAAATGGCACAGAACAATCAATTAGGCATTTTGTCGCTGATGAGAGCTGTAGAAGCTGCCACAAAGGGGCCTGAGAGGGGCATGATAGGGAGAGGCAGCGGGTTTCCATATTGTTATTGTTCATTTTTGGGCCTGAACTATTTGAAAGAATTAATTGAATTTGTCTTAGCTTTATACGAAGCGGCAAATTATTGTCAACTGGGGCCCAGGCCCCATTTATAAACCAGTTGTGTGGCTCGATAAGGCGGCTGAGGGAGCGGAAGGCGGCGGGGCGGGGCAGCCAGCAGCTAACTAATTGATTTATTGTTGACTAATTAAATATTGAATTAATTGCTCGACAGACTCACCAAAAAAAAACGAATACCCAAAAAACCGGCGCAAATTATTTGCATAAGACCCAAACACACAAAACAAAAAAAATAAATAAAATAAAAAAATAAAAATGAAAACCTTTTCGGATCGTTGTCGTTTTTGATGGATGTTTGACAAGCGTCCAAATCGGCGCAACTTGGCCACTACACTTAAAAGGCCCAGCTGGGAGATGCCCAAGAGGGGCTCCACTTCGCATGCCCATGTGAATTTTTTTGCGACTAGACCTTGATCTTGTCTAGTTGAGCGCTGCATGCAAATTGAAATGCGTATTCGATCTCTTCAATACGAGTGTATTCACATCGAAATCAAGCAAAACATTTTAAATTGTTTGTGATATTCATTTGGACTATGTTGATGTTGCTGTTGTTGTAGTGGGTGTGTTTCAGGGTTTCAGCTAACAAACATTGCATAAATTGTCTAGATTCAGCACACACACAGCACATAGTGTGGGTGTCTGGCCATGTCTTTGACTAACATTTGCCATCCTCTAAAGCTATGCGAATTATATGTTAAGTGGTCTTTAAACTTAAAACTCACCTTAGATTGTTGAGCAGCGGCAATAATTTGAGGCCTGCAAAGAAAACAACATGCGAATAATAAGTAGTTTTCAGTGAATAGAGCTAATATACAATTATGTACCAGTGAAAATGCATGTAGAGCTGTATGAAGTGCTGAAATTCATGAGAGAAACATAGAAAGAGTGAGGGGAACAAAAGAACAGACGAGGACGTCTAGACACATGAGCATATTATGTTTAAGTATGAGAATCGCAAAGAAGGGCATGCATTCTGAAGGAATTTTAATGGATTAAGAAGACAATAATATATATTTATACTTTCTAAAACCAATATATTATATAGGAATGCCTCATTCGATATTAGAGATATTCATATATATATTTTTTTCTACCTGTCATGACTTATAGAAATTTAATAGATATACAGATTTTGCTAATATTGCTTGGCATTCAGCTGTTAGACAGTGACGAACGTGTAAAGCGACTGGCCACGCCCTCTTTCACAAGAGAAGCCCTCGCCAATACCGGCAAGTATGTGGTGTCCATTAGATCGCGTACGCCGCACAAATACTTTGGGGACAATCATTTCTGTGCTGGGAGCATAGTGTCGCCCATATTTGTTCTAACTGCTGCGCAGTGTGTGATGAAGTGGGTAAATAGAGCTATGCTATATATACGTATATATATCCAGTGATCCAGTTGTCATTCTTTCCTTGAAGCAAACAGAAGGTCTTGCGTCGCAGTCGAGTGCTGTTGATCGTTGCAGGAGCACCCAATCGACTAAAGTTCTTTGCGAGCAGCTTGCATGTCCCGGTGAAGACGATATTTGTGCCTCAAAACTACACCGTCTTCAATACGAATAATATAGCGCTACTTAAGACCAGCCTAGAGCTGCCCACTAACAATTTTCGCATTGGGATAGCGCGGCTGCCCATCAGTCCGGCCGTCAATGGTCTCTACTATAGATCCATGGGCTGGGGACGCATATTTAAGGTTTATTACCAGCTAATGTTGGCAACTGAGCTGAACTGAACTGATCTGATCTTGCCTAATCTTATCGTATCTATCATTTCCTTGCAGGGTGGACCTCTGGCCTCTAGCATACTTTTCATTGATGTCCTGCTGCACGATTTCGCAACATGCAAGCGACTAATTCGCCCATTCACACCGGACATGTTATGCGTCGGGAATCTGCACAAGCCCAAACTGGACGAGCATCCCTGTTCTGGCGATGCGGGGGATCCGCTCATTCTGAACAACACGGTATATGGCGTAGCTACCTATGGCCTGGGCTGCGGCAATAACCTGTATCCCTCCGTCTATACGAATGTCTGGTACCACATGGATTGGATGAGGGACATCATGGAGCGTAATAACTGTGGAAAGGCTCAATGCTTAACGGTCTATGTTTTGATTGCGCTTTATGCGTGCAGCTATTGCATTTGAACATATTTTTACGTATTATTTACGAGAAGAAACCCAAATATTTAACATGATTCTAACTAATCCCAGATCACATTTGTTCGAATGTGGCTAAGAAGAACGAATGCACAATACTTTAATCATAAAGCTTAAGCTCGCATACGCTTCATGTAGCAGATACCCTGAGCTCTAAGCTCATGCGCAGGCGCACACAGACGTCTCTACTACCAAGGGAACATATCCTTTGCAGCACAGCCTAAGGCTTATCTACTTGAAATTACTTATGAGAAGAGACGTCCAAAGTGGAATACATTTGCAATCTATGTACTACAGGAATGGACCTACTTAATTGACATATATCTACATCTGATGAAAGGCTATTTATACAGATAAAGGGAGCCAGCTGGACGTGGCTGCTGACACTTTGTCGCTTACGCCTGCTTCTGCCAACAATTAAAATATGCATTGACAAAGTGGTTTTTGTTGATTGAACTTTGCTAATTGAATTTGTCATCGAGACAGTTCTTAGCTCGTGCCACTTGTGCCCAACTCCCAATGCTGACTGGTCACTGGGTATTGGGGACCTGATCTAACCGCCCAGTGTGCAGCAAAAGTCGCTTCCGGTCAAGCTTGTTTTTTGTGTTGTTGTTGTTGTTGTTGCTTTTTCGCCTCCTGCTTTTATTTGCGCACAGACGTTATTTTGTTTTATTTTATTTGTGGCTGCTTGTAAATAAATATAATAAAAAATTAATTACAAAAATGCTCGTGAAAGTCGTCTCGTTGTAGCTTCTGTGTTGTGCTGCTGCTCCACCCAATCCCCTGGTTACTCTGCCCACCCAATGTTCGCCTTATTTGGCGCCTTGACGTTCATAATTTTATTTTACGACTTTGTTTCGTTGTCGTTTTATTTATTTGAAATTGAAAACCATAAAAGGCACACAATTAAAATGTGAGTCTATAACTTTGTCTGTGTCTGTCTGCGTGTAAAAGTTTCTTTGTCCGGCCATTGTTAAAGCTTTTGGAAAGTCTTGAGGTCTCTCGATCTAGAGAACCGATCTAAGCAAATCCAGCTTCAATTGTTTATATGCCCTACAGCCAAGGAATTCGCAAACACGCCCAAAACCCAAACGTAATTGTTTAATAACATGCCATGCAACAAGAAATCAAATAAAAACTTTAAGACTAACCAGCAGAAATGTTGCAATTGGACGTTGCCAACTGCGCAATACTTGCTCAAGCTGCAAAGAAAATATGAAGAATTCAATTTTCAAATGGCAACTTTTGTGTGGGTTTTTGATGTAGATTGAATATCTTTAATATTCGATATGCCTAGCTTGATCTGCAGGGTCTCATCTCTTCTTTATCTACTTTGGCTAGCATAGAATTTTGATTACAAATTAATTCTCGAAATCTGTATGTCATAGAGTTGGATGACTAAATAGAACTCACTGCACAAAACTAATATACTCTCATTGCTTTACGCGCACGAGCATAACAAATAAAGCAGAAATTGAAATTAAAATCAATTCGATTTGCATATTTTTGTTTGCTTTGCGCTCAAATACTTGGATATATTTTTATATATATATTGTTATAAGCTGTTGACGTTTTATAAATCAATTGCAATTGAAATTTGCCAGCTAGTTAAATGAGAAAATTGTTAAATAAATAAATTTATGGCGCGTTCGCAGGCGCAACAACTTCGAACTATGAAAAACTTTGCGTGCCAAAGTGGAAAATCATGGGGCATAAATCAGCAAATGCCGCACAGCCGGCAGCGATGAACTTGACAGATGACATACAGCAGATATGCTGGCCACACTCTGACCGGGTCTTGCACAGATTCCGCTTTTAAATATATCTCAAGAACTCTAGTTTTCAAGAGAGAGACGCATAGACAGAGAGTGAGAGAGAGAGGGAGGGAGAGATCTGCTGAGCCGATAATTGGACACTTAAATGGCATTAGCAGAACTCGAATGAACTTTGAATCGCATATATGCAAATATTTATCTGGAAACTCTAAGATTCTTACGTAGCGGCTGTGTGGGAGGGAATATGGGCGTGCCACGGAGGCCAATAGCCTTGAAACTGAATACATCGGCTCATTGCCAAACAAAATGCGGCCGTTGCTTGTCAAATGTGTCGCTGAGGAATGTACATGTCGATATGGCAACTGCATGTGTGAAATGTCCTACCACAAAGGCCCCTCCCTACATGCTCGCCCCTCCATACACTCAGAAATAGAGGGTGGGAGAGAGGGAGAGAGATAGCGGAGCAGTTGAAGTGCGTGACTTACATTTTGCTGTTGAGATTTCGTTTTTGTCGCAGTTGCTTTATTATATTCTTGTAATGCTGAAAAAGCGCAGCTCAATTTATTTTAATTAAGAACAATAAAAAGGCAGCGTCCCCTTTCTCTCCCTCTCTCTCTCCCTCCTCTGTCCACCGTCTGCCCATTCGGAGTCGCTGGCAAGTGCAGCGCTCATCATTCAACGAGTGCTCCCCACATTTGGCGCTGCGCCTGCGCACGCACGCACAACTGTGCTCAATCAAAGTCATAAGAAGCGGGTCTTCAGAGCACACAGAGATGGGGCTGCAACTGCTGCTGGGAGTTTTAAAGGCGCAGGCGCAGTTCATGAACTTTGCACAGACCAGCGCACAGAGTCGAGGGGAGGTTTGAGACGTCGGGCTGACAGGATGTGAGTGCGTCCCTTGTTTGTCAACAACTGGCACAGAGGCGACTTATTACATTTTAACTACGTGTCTATGTTGTTGAGAACGACTCGGACAGTGTAAAATTAAATAACAATTTGTGTTCGTCATGCAGTGGAAACCCTAGATCCAAAATACATGCACACATGCATAGCAACATGTTGGAAATATCATTTTTATGTATATGCCATAGAATATTTCACATATTTTTAATAGTGGGCCATTAAAACTACAACTGCTTTAAATTTTGAGGGGTGCAGCCAAGCCAAGTCAAAAGCTGAATTTCTTTCGGGTTCCAGGGCACGCAGATTTTAGGGAAGGTAATGAAGTCCAGGCTGTCACGTTTTTCGATTAGTTTTATTCTAGTCTATGCGCTTTTTATGAGTAAAGTCTCATTGGCAAAGAAAGCTAAGTGGAATCCACAGTCGGTCGACAACTTTAAAGACGCACCTCTAATCGTTGGCACGTGCTAAGGTTACTCAATTGGATTGCGTCAAGAGACAAAGACGATTTGACGATTGGACGATATGCGGTATGGCAAACCCGCTGCCGAAACTATCATTATCCACGACCCCCAGAGCCAACAACCGAGTCGCTAGAGCCCCGAGGGTCGCTGGCGTGGCTCTGACATGCAGTTAACCAACTCCGTCTGGGCATTTGCTATGTGTGGCATATGGTATACGGTATATGGTCAAGGGCAGTGCCGATCAGCGGCGCCGTCAGCGGATCAGCGGGCACATCAATCAAATCAATGAAATCGAAGACAGCTAACAAAGCACAAGAGGGCAAAACAGTTGACTCACAAAACAAAAACAAAAGCAAAGAAAGAGCAGAGAAGGGGCACCTGGAGGAGGTCGGCTGATGACTTTTTGTGGTTGGCCTAATGTGTTTATCATGATGGCCTTTCGGTTATCAGCATTACCGGAAAGCAAAACAAAAACACAATAATAATAAAAAAGAGTTCTAAAGAAATTTACTTAGAATCTAGAATCTGGGAGAGTTGATTCTGTATGGTGTATCTAGATTAGGTGTATCTTTAAATGATTTGTATCTATAGAGGTGCAGCGTCTTAAGAGATGTATGTATCTATAAGAGGAAAATATATATACTGGACTGTCAAAAAGGAATCTTTAAAAAAAGTATCTATTAGAAATAATCTATCTATTAGCAGAGTATCCACATGATTGGCTTAAATGTATCTATGAAATGTATATCTAATAGAAATATATATAAAAGCAAAGTATCTATGGAATGGTTTAAATGTATCTATAAGCAGAGTATATTTTATATATGTATCTTTTATATATGTATCTTTTATATATGTGTCTTTTATATATCTCTTAGAGAAGTAGAAGTAGTAGTAGTATGAGTATTAGAGAAGTAGAAATAGAAAAGCATCTGTGAGCGCAGTATCTACATGAGCAGTGTTTTAACTGCTGACAAATATCGTATCTATATAAACAGCTAATTGCACTCACCTATAAACTCGTTGCGTATGCGAATGCGTTCCTGCAGCTTTGGCTCCGAGATGATGACGCAGTTGATGAAGGCCAGCAGAGTTGCCAGGTAGTCCAGAGGTGGAGCTGCAGCTGCAGTTGACTGTTCCAGCTCGTTGATGACAATTTTGAAGCGATAACGCTCCTTTTTGAGATTCTAGACAAATATTGAATTATGAATAATATGAAAGACCTTGTCATCGTTGTTATAGCTGCCGTATTTACCTTGTAAAACTCGAGAGTTTCGATGGCACGGGCATAGCCGTCGGGGCTGTAGGCGCAGAGCGCAGACAGCAGCTCGAAGACCTGCTTCTTGACCGTCGCATTCTGCGTGTCTAGGGCAGAGCCCAACTTGGCAATGTAGTCACGATTTTCGACTATGTAATCCAGGCCGATGCGTGAGTCCATTTTATTTGTTGTTTATCTGGCTTTATAATCGGTGGGCTGAGGGGGAGTTAGGACGGGGCGTTGCTCGCCGTTTGTCACGCCGTTTCGGACGCAATTCGATCGATTGATTTGTGCGGCTAGTTGCAAAGGTTCTCAGTTCTTGGACTTGGACTGGGTCTGAAGCCGCATTGAATACCTAAACAGTTTCCGTCATGCCGAACGCCTCTCGTGCGCTGAATCTGTAAATGTAGATGGGAAAAGCGTTGCCCATGAAAAATCAATTTCTGATTGCATTAGACACATTGAGTTAGGGCCCTGCACCCCACGATGGGGTAATCAATTGTGGGTCGAAAACCCTGCCGGTCTCCGGCTCTCCCTGTTCCACATTTTCTTGCTACTTTAAATGCCGTCCGTGCAGCGCTCATAATTAATTTACGATCTTGACTTCTGGGCCGTACACCCCCCGAGCACATAAAGTCCATAAATTCATTTTGGTTAATGCACCGCCAGAGGGCGCTGCCAATTGTTTTGATTTCCCGCCGCTCCAGCCCCCAGCCCCATTTTTGACGGTCAAAAAATAAGCGAAAAGGCAAAAGCCAAGATCAAAGCTGGGCACCCGTCACTCGTTCTCAATCTAAGTCTGGGTTCCGCCTTCAAGATCGGCATCTCAATTACGGCAAATGATCTTGTTAATTTGTTTACACTTAAAGCATGCGACGCCTTCGATTAGTTGCCAAATGATACAGTCGAAAAGTGCACAAATCGCCGACAAAGTCTGCCATTTAAGTTCTCGCATATTAAACATTCTCTGAAAGCTAAAGCAACAACAACAGCAACAACAAGAACAAACAAAAAGGCCGATAAAATGTTTAACATTTTTGTTAAGAGCTGTGATCTCGAGTGGCACTTGGCGCTATTTGAAATTATAATTTGTATGTGCGCTAAATGCTCATGTTTTTTATTTGTTATTAAAGCAGTTGTTGCTGTTTTTGCTGTTGTTTTCTATATTATATTATATAAAGGCTTAGTCCGCGAGTGACGTTCGGAACGGCGTCGCTAATGAAATCAAATGAAATGTCATAAAATAAATGGACAGATATTATAACATGACATCCTTTAGATATGCC